TACACTTTATATATCTTTCTGTTCCTTGACTGAATGTTATCTTTCTCTGTAACAGAGGCAGCATTTACTAACTCATGGTGGGAAATTCATTTCACTTTTGGAGCATTTATATAGCATTACTGGAAAATGGAAAGGCAGGAAGAGAAGACAAAAGTTGTTTCAAACTATGAAAGAGATCGTTCCATTTCTTTTTCTTAGAGTAAAACATTTGTTCCAGGATAGCAGTTTTCAAATTGTGTGTGACGAGATCAATTTAGCAGATCAAGAGGAGCACTTAAAAACAGTGAAATAAGATAGAAAAAAATAAAACAGAAATATAATACAAGCAACACAGCAAGTGTAATTATTGTTTCGTGAAATTCTGGTTTCAGTTACATGTATTGATGCCTGTATGTGCACTGTAAATGTATTTCTGAGGGCCATGACTACGAAAATGTCAAAGCCACTGCTGAGTCAATACAAAGAAGTAGACAGATGTTATTTTTTTAATATTTTGTTTTCTGATAGACAATAACAATTAAAAAACAAAAATGATAAGACACTAATGAAAGAAACTGAAGACAAAAATAAATCAAAGGCTGCTCTATACTCACGGACTAGAAGAATATTGTTAAAATGTCCATACTACCCAAAGCAATCTACAGATTCAATGTACTCCCTGTCAACATTCCAATGGCACTTTTCACATAAATATAACAACAAATAATCCTAAAATTTGTATGGAATCACAAAAGACCTCAAATAGCTAAAGCAACCTTGAGGAAGAAGAACCAAGTTGGAGGCATCGTATTCCTGATTTCAAACGATTACAAAGTTATAGCAATCAAAACAATATGGTATTGACATAAAAAGAGACACACAGATCAACGGAACAGACTAGAGAAATATGCCCATACATATATGGTCCACTAATTTACAACAAAGGATCCAAGCATATAAAATGGGGAAAGGATAGTCTCTTCAGTAACTGGTACTGGGAAAACTGGACAGCCACATGCAAAAGAATGGAAATGGATCACTATCTTACACCACACACAAAAATCAACTCAATGTGGATTTAAAGACTTGAACGTAAGACCTGAAACCATAAACCTCCTAGAAGAAAACACAGGGGTGTAAGCTTCTTGACCTCAGTCTTAGTAATGATTCTACGGATTTGACACAAAAAGCAAAGGCAACAAAAGCAAACACAAACAAGTGGGACTACGTGAAAACTAAAAAGCTTCTGCACAGCAAAGGAAACCATCAACCAGATGAAAAGGCAATCTACAGAATGGAAGAAACTATTTGGACTCATATAACTCAAATGAAAAAGATCCAATTAAAGAATGGGCAGAAGATCTGAACAGATCTTTTTCCAAAGAAGACACACACAGATGGCCAACAAGGACATGAAAAGGTGCTCAGCGTTGCTAATTATCAGGGAAATGCATATCAAAATCACAATGAGTTATCACCTGTTAGAATAACTATTGTCAAAAAGACAAAAAATAACAAGTGTTGGCAAGGACGGGGAGAAAAGAAAATTCCTGTGCACTGTGGGTAGGAATGCAAATTGCTGCAGACACTGTGGAAAACAGTATGGAGGGTCTTCAAAAAATTAAAAAGAGAACTCATCTAGCAATTCCACTTCTGGGTATTTATCCAAAGAAAACAAAATCACTATCTCAAAGTGATGTCTGCAATCCTCAAGTTCACTGCAGCATTATTTACAAAAGTTAAGACACGGAAACAACCTAGGTATCCACTGATGGATGAACTGATAAAGAAAATATGGTATATGTATACAACAGAATATTACTAAATCATTAAAATGAAGGAAATTTTGCCATTTTAGACAATATGGATGGACTTTAAGGGCACTATGCTTAGTGATATAAAACAGACAGAAAAAGATAAATGCTGTATAATTTCACTTATATGTGGAATTGTTAAAAAAAACAAAAACAAAAGCATGAAACTGAACTCACAGATACAGAGGACAGATGGGGGGCGGGGTTGAAATGGGTGATGGTGGTCAAAAGGTGCAAACTTCCAGTTATAAAATAAATGATACATTTAAGCCCTGTGGATGTAATGTACGGCATGGTGACTAGAGTTAACAATACTGTTTTGTATATTTGAAAGTTGCTAACAGAGTAAATTACTAAAGCTGTCATCACACAAAAAAACTATCTGTGGTGACGGACATTAACCAAACTTAACATGGTGATCATTTTGTAATATATTCTTGTGTTAAATCATTACGTTTTATGAGAAATAACTCAAATGTTTTAAGTAAAGGTTTACAATGTTTGTCTTGTATAATTTTACTAAGTAAAAGAACCCTAAAACTAATACAATGTTATATGTCAATTGTACCTCAATAAAAATAAGCTTTAAAAACCCACAAAATAACCACTATATTTCTCCATAAAACATCAGTTTGGTATGTTTTCAAATCTTAAGCACATTAAGAAAACAAAAAACAAAACAAAACCAACAATCTATCCAATTCTGCCGTTGAATACATTTCAGTATTTTGAGCAAAGAGAACGTATACTTTACAAGTGTACTTTATTCATATGCTGTAATCTATTTTAAAGAGCTTATTCAGATAGAGTTTTTAGCAATATGTGATAAGTACATTTCTAACATTAAGTAATGAAATGCGTCAAACTCCAAAGAATTCCAACGTTGCTTCATTCCCAGACTTTCCAAACAATGCCTTCAATATAATATGCTGCTGACATTTGGTTCAGATACCCAATAACCTCATTCTGACTCACAGGCTTAAAAAAATCTTATTTCATGGCAGTGATCTTTAATTTAAACTGAAATTTATTAAAAATCAAGCTACTATAGATGGCTTTTTTCAAAGAAAATTTTTAATCAAAAAAAATTTTTTTTAGGAAAAGGTGTTTGCTTTTAGAGTTTTCTTACAAGAATAAAAGGTCAAATAGCTGAATGAGGTCCGATACTTCCAAGGAGGTTTCAATCTTTTAGAAGTATAATTTAAACAGTATTGAGTATATATCATGTCAAAATCTTAGTAACTAGAAACTATGCTATTTTTACAGATTTTGATAACTTAAATTTTACCAATATATTTATATTTTACTTATATACACTGCTGAAATGCAGACGTCTAAAATCACATTGACATTATTGCTATCATGGAATTGAAAAGGCTCAGGTTGAACTGGTAAAGCATAAAAATGTGTTTAAGAAACTTTAATTTTTCCTTGTCCAGCTGAGAATAATTTTTAATATAATGAACCACAGCTGTCAAAGTAACAAATAAGTAGGCAAATATAAATCCAGCATGTTTCTGCCCACCACTAACGTTTCATGATACATTTCCTACGGAAATACTATCTGTACATTTTTACTTTTGTAACTATTCTGTCTCCATCAGTTTTATCTTGTGTTAAAGTCTACTTATATTCATAACTTAAATATTTTTCCCCCAAAGTGTAGAGTACTTACAACTTTTTATATCACAGGACAGAAGATTACAAGTATGTGAGAAAACAGTAGGTAAGAACAGATGGTGGGAAACAGGTTAACAAGGAGAAGTCAAAACAGAGGCAGAGCAAATCCTGGGATGGGAATTACACTTCCCTCCTGTCCCCTGACTGACACCTCCTCAGGGGTTTAGGTTCTGAAGACAATGGCTAAGAAAGAAATTGTGTAAAGTAAAAATTATCCTTAAAAAAAAATCCCTTAAGTATGATGTGTATAGTTTTATGTAAAGATAACTGCTTAGAAATATGCATAACATACGCATTTTAATGTGTCATGCAGAATTTCCAAAAAGATGGCATACAGAATTAAACCACTCAAATGTACTGGACTGGAAAACTTGGACAAATAAAGACTCCAACTTTGTTGGTTCTTCCTGTTGGTTGTGTCATTCAGAGACGTTTTATTAGTTCCTCTTCCTTAACGTTTTTCTATTAGTTAATTAATTTCCTGACTTTTTCCTAAAGGAGAGTTAGAACATCAATGTCATTCATTTGCCCGGGGCCTGAGTACTTCTCACTCAGTGGTCACTCACATCACCTTTCAAATCAACCATTTGTTCCATTTGTCAGAAGAGTTATCAGTGTTCAGGGACAGCTGATATCTTTCGTCTGGGTGCAGTGGAATGGTTCGCTGGTTATTTAAATTATTCTTGGCCCCTCCCCCCTTTTAAAGACACAATAGGGATTCCCCTGGTTACAGATTTTATTGATACAATTATCACAAAATCTAAACTAGGTAAGATTTGCCGCTCACATGTTGCTGATTCCTTACAGTTCATATTAAGCTACCTTTCCCTTAGTTTAACTGCGCTAACCAAATGGAAGTATTCTCAGAACGTAGAGCTGGAGGGAGATCATATACTCCATCTACAAAGTGAACTTAAAAATTCTCATCCTGGGATGGGATGAAACTACTATATTGTAATGTTCTAACTTTACAATGCAGCAAAACCAAGTTTCCCTTTCAGGAAAAAACTCTGGGCTATAAAAAGTGACTCATAGCTACTAGGGTCTGTACCTTGGAGGAGCTTTCAATTACAGTTTTGGTTTTTGGAGGTACCAAACTGGGGAAGGAGGTGTTTGTGGACGAAGGAATTGGTGGCGGATTCTAGAAATCACCTATTGGGACAAACATCATTTGATGTATTTCCTGGTTTCAGCTCCACAGCGCCAATCTGCTGGGTTAGCAATTGGCAACCGACCTCTCTATCTTAGAGTAGGCTTTCGTGGCAACGTGTAGTGTAGGGGAAAAGTGCACACAATCAGCCAGGTCACTGAAGAGTGAACACTCAAATGATACAGAAATGCTAATAATAATAGTTAAAAAAAAAGTACCTTACTCACTTTGGATAGTGCAAACCAACCACCCGTTCCCCATTCTTTTTCCCATTCTTAAAACGCCTTCCAGCTTATTGTAATGTGTGAAGTCTCCTCCACACATCTTACAACTCTCAAGTTCTATCCTTGCCTATTCATTTCTAATTTCTATTCCTGGCCAAATCCATTCACTCCTCTCTCTCTATACCCTACCCAGCAGATTTCATCTACTCTCCAAATCTGAATTATACAGATGATCCTGAGTCTTTATATTCATACACAAACCACCTTTCAGGCTTTATTCCAATATTCTGATTGCTTATTAGGTCCATCTATCAGGATGATTACCATCTCCAAAGCCGAAATAATCTCCCCCAGCTATTCCTCCCTAATCCTATTTGCTCATGTTCAAAATGTCAAGGTTACTTTTGACCTTTCCCTCTCCCTCTCCCACTAAGTTTGATTAATTCACTCTTTATAACATTATTTGCATCCATTCTTTCCTTTCTGTGCCTACAGACACCATGCTAATTCAGAATCTTTATACGTCATATAGAAATAAGATTATGACAGTATTTTACAACTCTTCCTCCTGATGCTGGTCTATTACCATCAAGCTGTCTATCATATCACCACCATGGTACTATTTCTCTAACAATTCTGATCATGGTCCTTGACTGCAAGAACAAGTCCAAAGTCTTTAACGTTCAGTCATTCAGCTTTACAGATGTCAGTCTTATTTCCTCATTTGAATTCCTGGTTTAGCCAAAAAATAGACCCTATGCATTTCCCAGGCCATGTCCTCCAACTGGAAGATACCGTGCTCCTGATTCTTTAAAATTCTTATGAAACTTCACCTCTTCCCCGGTTGCCCCGAGTAGACAGAAGTACTCTCACAGAATGGCAGAGCAGAAGTGAGATCATCTGCTCCAGCTGCAAAATGGGCTTTAAAGAATCACCTCCTCCACCTATACAATTAATGCTTGGGGGAAACTGAGGCCAGAGGATGCTAAACTACTTCTCTCTTTAAACACTAATTTTTTTCAACACATTTTTCTTGTTTCCTATGGGCCAGGAGCTGTGCTAGCCACATGGGATGAGACTGACTGCACTTAAATTATCACACAAACAATTCAACTGTGATGAGAGCTATAAGAGGGAAGCACAGGGTGCCAACGATGTCTGAAATGCGAGTGGCTGAGGAAGGGGCGAGGCACGGCATTAAGACAGTGTGGGAAGACAAGCTAGGAGTCAAGTCAGTTTGGGAAAATGAGGAAGGTTTCCCTGAGGAGGAAATCTTTGAAGCAGGGCCAGAGAGTAGGCATTAACTCTGCAAAACGTAGGTGATTTCTACTCGTAAAAGGAGAGCCAAGAGATAGGCACTCTCGTGGAACCGAAAGAAGGTCTGGGCGCTGGAATGGAAGGGACGAGGAAGGTTGCCAGAGTGAAGCTGCAGAGGCAGCGGGGTAAGAGCGTGCTGGGCCTGGGAAGGGCAGGCTCAAGATTTCTGGGCTTTACCCTAAGAACAAGAGTTCTCAGATAGCATATTCCAAGATACCTGAAGTCAGGACCACGGCCTACCCTGAGAAGAATGGGAGAAGCAACTGTGAAATTAGACACAACTTGACTTTTATTTCAATTGAAGTCTTTTCTATATCCCTGTGTGTCTGATTTCATGCAAAGCCAAGTTAAAAAAAAGAAAGCATCTAACTTGATAAAAACCACCGTTTTAGTTAGCCCCCTTGGCTTGGGCAGGCGGCTGTGTACGTACAGGTATCCGGCGCTTTTCCAAAGTTGCTTTATACCACTTTGCTTTTACAAAAGACCTATTAGTAACCTATTTTCAATAACCAAAAGAAATCAGAAAAAGATTCCCACTTTCATGGAAAAAAAGGTGAAAAATGAGAATAGCGTACAATTTGGAGAAAGCAGCTGAGAGGTAGCACACACCCCGAGCAGCCAGAGTGGTACCTCCAAGCTCCTTCCCCAGGAACCGCATTCAGCATCTCAGCATCAAGCCGCCATGGCTTTGAACTCTGTGCGCATCTCACCTAGATTTTTTTTGCACCTCCATAAGCAAGATGTGTCCTAAGGTAATTGAGTCTTCGCTTTATACCATTTTGGCTTAGGAACGGTTTCAAAGGGATGCTCCACTTTCAGATAGTGGGCGGTAACCTGTAAATGAATGTCTATGACCCTAAAGACACACAAGGGAATATGGGCCTATTTTAGACTTCTTATAAGCAAAATATTCCATACAAAACCAATCCAAAGAAAAGCTCCATTTCACTATTTGGCTGTGCACTGGTAGCTATACTTACACGTTTATTCTCCCGTCCTCATCCTTTCCCATAACATCCTTAAAAGGTAAGATATTTTAAAAGAATACCAACAAAACTTTTCCAAGAATTGCTTTAATCAATATTGCTCTTTCTAGTACTATCTTATCTACACTGAGGAATGAACTTCAAAATGTAACTGCTTATTTCCTCTGAAATTATATTTATATCAAGGATAAAATTTAAAACAGATAAGGTGACAAAGTTAGAACTGCTGGGATTTTGGAGTAATTTCTGTGTTTAAGGTATTGTGTTGGGCACCTTAAAATACATTACCTCATTTAATCCTAATAAAGACTTTAAGAGGCTCAGGTTATACTCTATTTCACAGATAAGGAAGATGAAGCTTAGAAAAGCAAGTATTTCTCCAAAATATATACACCTTAGACCTGCACTGTCCAATATGGCAGTCTACAGTCACATGCAGCTGCTGAACGCTTGAAATACAGCTAGCCTGAACTGAGATGCGCTGTAGGTATAAACTGTACACCGGATTCTGAAAATTTAGTTTGAAAAAGAAAGCAAAATATCTCAATTTTTGAAGACTGATTACATGTTGAAATGACAAGATTTTAGATACAGTGGGTTAAACAAAATGTATTATTAAAATTAATATTACTTGCTTTACATTTTTTAAAAATTGGCTACCAGAAATTTAAAAATTACACAAGTGGCCCACACTATATTTCTATTGACTGGCACTGCCCTAGACCAAAGGTTGGATTATTGAATTTGCCAGTAAGCACCAAGTTCAAAGGCAGCCTGGTATGGAAGAAAAGAGGAGTACATGGATTCCTGCAGATCTTGGTTTAAGTCTCCTCTCCGTCAATGACTAGTTTCGGGGCAAAATACCAAACCTCTCTGCATTTCACTTATGTCATCTGCATTATGGTGACATTAAGAATGCCCAAAACTATGTTGTCTATAATATGTAAAGCAGCTAGCTGGCAGAGGGGAGGGAACAACTACTGAATACCTCCCACAGCAACTGATTAATTTAAAAATTGATTCTCAAAAAGAAGAGAAAATTCACATATCTGAGTATCATGTGTTATTCTCTTTGGGAAAAGTTAAAAAACCAAAATATTGAATACCTGCTTTAGTATAATATATGCTACAATGTAATATATATAATATACACAGATCCTTTCTTTCAATGTTCAGTTGTTTATAATATGCTATAGGCTGGGAGGCCAGATGATGCGGTCCTGGTGAGGCTTAAAATATCTGGACACAGAAGGGCCCAAGTGGTTCTTATGGACACAACGGATGAATTCTAGCGAAAGAGTTTATGAACTCTACTTCAGCTGATCTTTTCAGCTTTTTACACCAGGAACTGGGACTAGTAAGTAAAATGACAACTGGGCCAGTAGAATTTTGCTCTTTTTTTTTCCTTACTGGGTCATGCTGTAAACAGATAAATTGTTCCAGTACAATAAGTTTAGACTAACTTATTTTTAGTAATCTCTACTAAGCATAAGAAACTACAACAAAATCATGTGAACTATACTATCCAATGATATTTTGCCATATTCTGTCCCCTAGACTTGTATCCAGAAGTTTGCCTGGGCATGTGGTCTTATGAATGTATGCATTATCTGTATGTATTTAAATATGAAGGGCGGAGCAATTGGGACATTTACTTTATAATTTGATGTATGTATGTGGCCTAAAATTGTCACGTGACAATGCATTAGATTGCCCTGTTCTATAGTTTTTTTTTTTAAGTAGTATGGGGGGGATTAAAGATTTGGATCACTAAAATGCAGCCTCTTAAATGTCATATGCTTAATAAGTTTAACATCAAAAGTGTTATTATGCTAACTACAGCAATTAACTTTAAAAAAATTGAGATTGAAAAAGTAAAAAGCTATCAGATTCACGGATTTTAGAGCAGCATCAGAGGCCATGAAAATACTCACTTTTTTCGTTTGAAATTCAACATAATAAGTAACATACAAAATTTCAGTTTAGATGTTAAAGTGCATATTCAATGAGTTAAAGGGGGGTTTGGGGAGAGGGTCTCCTCTTTGATCTCATATGTGGCATTAAAAATCTGCCTCTTGTAACAAACTTTTGAGCAACCTCTGAGTACACGACTTGGTATTTGCTATTTCAAAATGAGTAGACTCAAACTGACTAAAAATGAGATTACGTCTATACTACACTTACAGCTAGTTTTCAGCAAATGTCTACAAATTTAGGTCTATACGTAGAACTGGATAAGAAAAACAAAATTACGCTAAATCAAAATTATTAGTAATTATTAACTAATAATAAAAATCAGACAAACCAGTAATGTGTAATTCAATCGTAATTAGAAAAATCCGCTAAAACTCTGAACTGAGATATTACACTTTTGATGTTTGAAATTACAGGGAAAAAAAATACACTCAGTCAACGTAAGAGAAGACAAATATCATAAGCTATTTAAGATATCAGCCGTATTTTCAAAATGCACACTTCAGAAAAAAAGAGTTCCTAATTAGGAGAGTTCATTTGCATTAACTTTAAATTAGCTAATACTTGAGTCGCACCTCTGAAGAAACTTGTTTTATTTCCAGGAATGTCTTTTATCCCTCCTTTTTTCTTTTCTTTTTTTTGAGGGGATAAGGTGGGTAAATTAAAAAAAAAGAAAGTTAAGCCGTATTCTTTAATGTGAATGGTATATTTGTGCTTCTATATACTAATACTCTCTCAATCCCACTGAGCTGTGTCTTCAAATAATTTATAATCTGTCTTTAAAGTTTCATCTTAATTGGAGAGCTCATTTTTGTAAAACACTTTGGCACCATTCAATCATCTATGAAATGAGAAAGATCTCTTTCCTTTGGACCTGACATTTTTACCATATATGTGTGAGCAATTTTTGCTGTCAAACATTACAAAGGTAGATTTTTGCTGCTGTTCTTCAATCTGAAGACGACTCCACTATACTTGCACAGCTGCCCTCTTCCCAGCAGAAACCTACCCGCCCCTCTCCCCCCTGCAAGTTTTAAACTTTGTTTCCTTTGAGGTTCTGCACAAGCACTACTAACAATATCCAAGAGACAAAGAGCTGTGCTGTGGGTTCACGGGATGCCAAATTTGAGTTGTGAAACAAAGCACTCAAATTTGAGATTCAAGACGATGAGGAGCATGATGCCGGCAAAAAATTGGTGATAAGGGGTAAGACCCCAAAGCCATCTCCCTAGACAGCTCCTGCTGCCCACGGCCACCCTAGAGCACGCGGGAGGGAGTTCTGGCCCCGGGACAGTGGCCGCCGGCCGCACCGCGAAGCCCGCTGCCCGCGCCCCCGGCCCTCTCACCGCTTCACTCGGATGATCTGGTCCCGCATGGGCTTGATGTCCTGGAAGCTCTGCTGGTTGACGAGGCTGTAGACGAGGATGAAGCCCTGGCCGTTCTTGATGTACAGGTCCCGCATGGACGCGAACTGCTCGGTGCCCGCCGTGTCCAGGATCTCCAGCACCGACGGCGACGAGTCCACCTCGATCTCCTTGCGGTAGAAGTCCTCGATGGTGGGGTCGTATTTCTCGATGAAGGTGCCGGTCACGAACTGCACGGTCAGGGCGGATTTGCCGACC